TCCTTCCTAAGAACACGCATACTGGCAGTCTCCAGAACACGAACAGAACCAGTTTACCCAGGCAATATATGTCCAACTGGCTGCCAAGAACAACTCCCGCCAGACCACGCAGACACATTTTCGTGGTGTACTGTAACAGTCCTCTTATGGCTCTCTATCCAAAAAAATATCCACTACCTGAGGGCTTGAGGCAGACGCACCAAAACTGTTAAAATAAAATCCAGACAACCGTCCGCTACCTTGTCACTCATTGCAGTATCCCGGGTACCTCCCTGTGATGACCTCACACTGGTCCCTCACCCATCTCTCCAGTTATCACGGCAACCTCCGTAGAACCTACAGACTCTTGTTCCCGTCAACCAATGTGCACATAGATGAAGACACAGTGCCGACCACACAACACACGGGCCAATATACAAGCCATCACATACAAGATCCATTCGAGAATGTGCTCTTTAAGAAACTGCACTGAAAACTTGCTATAACACAGTAACAAACGCAAAATTGTCTGCTGTCAAATCTCCCATAGCTGAAATCTAACTGGGTACTTTAGAATTACGAAGCGCGTTCGCAAGCCACACAGGCTGACATGTTCTGAAGAATGTTCGAATACTTACTTTATGGCAGCAGTTTGCCATTGTTGCTGCAGCAGAACCACTTGTTTGAGACAGAGAGTGCGCAGTCTGTGGAACTTTGCCTGAGTCGGCAGGTTACCAATAGCAACTTTTTAACACCGTCTCCTGGAGACTGGTTGAATCCTTTTTTTTTTTTTTTAAAGAAAATGAAACGAATCAAAACTTTAATTAAGCTCATCAAGTCATCGTGTGAATGAGTTGAGTTGAGTCAAGAATTGACATAACAGCACCATGGACATTCCCATGCATGCTCCGTCCTCATCTTCAGCAGCCAGCGCAGAGTTCCAGTACTGATGGTACCGGTCACAATCTGGTTAAAAGTCCGTCTTGTCTTTCCTCTTAGTGTAGTAAGCCGGCAAGACCTCTCTGGTTACACCCAGGTGCCTCATTCTCTCCAGGCCCATAATCTTGTTTCCCCACTGATTCCGTTGCTTGTTCCCAAAGGGCCTTGACCTGTGTGAATATATGTTTTATAGTCCGCTGTAAAAGTCCTTCCGCACTTTAAAAATCTGTAACTCAGTAACCGTTTGGTGTAAATTGCTGAAATCTGGTATTCAGTCTGCTAACAGTCATGTCCTTGTCGCCCAGTCGCACAGCTTCTGAGCTGAATGCATGGCGTGACCCTGTGAGCTGCGGATTGCATTTGGAATGTTTTTTTCGGCTGTGACCAGCGTGTTGGTGTGAATTGTAGATTCAGAAAATGGCGCGAGGCCTGTTGCAGTGTTGTGGTGCCCGTATGTGATTAACATTTATCGCGTGGGCAACTGCTGATCTGTTGGCGACTTCTGCTACCATCAATGATGAACTGCAATTCTAATACTGTGATAAACATTCTGTGTGTGTTTTTCGTTGGCACAGGAGCGGAGCAAAGATGGGGTGACCCGTTTGCTATGAAGCTGAAACTAAGACTACCAGAAATGTCCTTGTAAGTATCTTTGTTGGTTAGTTCGACGTTAGTCTCCCCAAATAGAGTAGGTCACTATTTATTCGCAAAGTTTGTTAGGCTGGTCGACTTTCCTAAATGTTAGAGGTGTGAGCGTTCTGGTTTCTGCGATTCTTGACTTAACGTTTTCATACAGAGAAAAAGAATGCCTGTGACACAGGTTGCAGCACTCTCTACGGGGGTTGTGTTAGACCCAGATTCTCCATGTTTTTTAAGCGTTAAAAGCGCTGGCGTGCTGAAATATACAAAAAGCGATATCAACAGGTTTGCGGAACACCCCCGTAACCGTGTGCAAAGGACACGGGGCTCATGAACTACCAATCAGAAGTGAGATAGTGTGTATATGGACGAGGTCTGGAAAACTAACGTCCAACTAACCTATCTGTTAAGTGTAAACAAACATTTAGTCTTTATTTGTACCTATTTGGTATAAAACAGACACTGATTCAAAGCAACCAGGCAGCTTGCTTGCAGTAACTTGAAAAAATTTAGGAAGGGCAACTTTTCAAAACATCAAACTGAAAGAGTGTCATAGGTGTTTCACTCGTATGTGGTCATCTAGAGCATGTCTCCTGTGAGTATGGAATAGGCTGTTCGACAATAGTCTCCCCAGACCCCGCCCATATACACACCAGCTCACTTCTGATTGGTAGTTCCTGAGCCCAGTGGCCGTAAAAAAAGGTTACGGGATGTTCGGCAATGCCTTTGTTGTATATTTCAGCACGCAGGGCTTTTAACACTCCAAAAACATGGAGAAACTGGGTCTAACACACTCCCCCTAGAGAGTGCTGCAACTTATGACACTGACATTCCCTTTTTCGGACTGAAAACGTAAATGCAGGACATCGCAGAGCGGGACACACCCGTAACCTTCAGAACGTGTCGACCAGCACAACAAACTTTCGAATGAAAAGTGACCTGCTCTATTTGAGTAGACTAACGTCGAATTAACCTTGGAGCTGATTTCCAAACAATCTTCACACGTGTGTCAAATATTGTATATTCCATTTTTCAGGGGTACATACATTATTAGTTAAACGTAAGAGGAAATGGTAATGAAAGAGTTGATTAGCTGGCAAGTAATGCATCAATGAAAACGGGAAGAAGCATGGACAGAGCTGATATCATCAACGTTGTGCGGACTAGGCTGAGGATAACGGCGAAACACTGACGCTAACACGACTGCATGACCAAGGAGTTAAGCTTGGCGAAGGACGTCTATGCCGTCTTCGAAGTAAAGACAGGATATAATATAACCAACTCCTCATAGAAGCAATTAAAAACCTAGGCTATCCTCTGAATAACGGGCACAAAAGATGGCGGCCGCAAAATATCCTTACGAGCCTCAGTCACGTGTCAATTACGCACTTCCTGTGCTTTAATTTGCGGTTGTCCGGCGACTACCGCAACCGCACTGAGTCACCCACGCCGCTCATGCGGCGTGGACTGGGGCTAAACTAGATGGCTAGGACTCACGAGCAGCATCCGCAACTGACGCGTGACTGAGGCTCGTAAGGATATTTTGCGGTTGCCATCTTTTGTGCTCGTTATTCAGAAGATAGCCAAAACCTACCTTGGAGTAGACGCTGCATCGAAGGACTGTGCACGCAAGGGGGTGCCCAGTGTGCAAAGACGTCGACTGTGATAACATAACATTAGTCAAACGAAGATTACTGAAATTCGCCTTTTTAAGAAAACGTCAGATCTGTGGAAATATAAATTAAAATGACATTATAAGGACATGGAAAATTTAAGGTCATATGCACACATTCGTGTTGATCCGCACACGGGGCACACACATTGTTTAAGTGCGCAATAAATAGCTATGTTTTGAATAGCAAATAAATATAATTAATATATTTTTCTACACCCATTAATAGTCGTTATTGGTGTGTTATCCTATTTTCTACACAGCCACGAGGTCAGTCGTTCCGCCGACAAACCAAGGGTAATCTTGAGGTGCCTGCAACTCTCCAAGTTGCTCCGGCATCACTCACGTAAGTTTGTACTGTACACTGATAGTATCAGTGATCCTCCACATTTCTTTCAAGCAATGAAGTGTTTCAATCTGAAATATGTTTCATGAGACCTGCTTCTCTTTTGTGTAGTCTGTAGGAGTGTCAGTTGTGGTTTTGTGTGTCATGTGTCTGTCTTTGTACACACTTGCGCACAATTCAGTAAACTTATAACTACAGTCTACACAGTACACTCGGTACTCGTACTCCAAACCACGAGTTCTCTGATGATTTAGTCATAGGTACTGGTGCTCTAGTCAATCTAAACAGTAATTAAAATAATACAACTAGCACAGTTGGAATCCACATGTAAAATACAATTTTACCGTACAGTACTTCGTTTTTTTTCCCTTCAGAATACAGAATGAGCACCCCCCACCCCCCCCCCCCCCACATAATAAAATATGATTAATGTGAGCCTCCCCCCCCCCCCCAAAAAAAAAAAAAAAAAAAAATCACAAATACTGTTAACAAGTACAAGAACTTGGACAAAGAAACTCACATAATAAATGATAATTCAAAATGTCAAATAACAAAGTAATAATTATTAGAATTTATGCATATTTTTTTCTATATTCTTGGTAAATAAAGGAAACATTGAAATACAGTGTTTGCAGTGACCAATACCAACAGACAAGATTTTTGACAGGTCAACATATTTTAATGGTCACAGACATTGGCCGGGACGCACAGAGACATACTAACTCAGATAATATTTAAGCTGAAAACAAGAGAGTGCATTCAGCTATACAACAGTCCCAACAAGCCGGTACTGAGACTAGTTTCAACTAACTTGGTACCTAATAGCATAGATGATCCCTGGGATCGGCTCCATGGAGGCAGGATTCAAGTCTGTACAAGGTGGTCACCTGGGATAGTCCAAGTTGTACAGTAGGGACGGGGTTGATTGAATCCATACAAAGTGAGGGATGGGGTTGACCCATCTGTACAGTTTGGAGATCTGGGATTATCATAGCTGTAGTGAGGACAGGTTGATCTACCCATAAAATGTGAGGGATGTCGTTGACCCATCTGAACAGTGTGGTCACCTGGAATTATCCAAGCTGTACAGTGGGTACGTGGTTGAATTACCCATAAAAAGTGAGGGATGGGGTTGACCCATCTGTACAGTGGGGATAGGGTTGACTTACGCAAAGTGATTGACTGGGGTTATTGGCTCATCTGTACAATCTAGGGACCTAGGTTTTTCACATGCTTTATAAAGTGGGATCCTGCATCTCGTTGATTGGAAAACCAGAGATATAAGTGATAGAAAAACAGGCGATCAGCTAAGATCTTTCGTGTCCTTCAGTCATTGCAAGGTCTAGATCCAGAATCATTTTTCTTGCCGAAGTATGTAAATATTAGTCAGCTGACTATATGCATATGTATGTTTTGTCTTTTCAGGGTCTTTTTCATCACAGACTTTGACAAATTCAGATGTACGGAAGAAACGTGTAGAGCTGTTTGAGAAGGAGCAGCAGCGGCAGCTGAATTTAGTGACCAGGGTTGAGAAAATCCAGGTTAAGCATGTTGGTGTACCAGAAAATTGTACACTTATCATGAACAAACACTTGTCGACACCATACAACTGTGCCATGCGTAGGTTTCTTTGTTTCTCACTTCGTCTTTGTTCAGCTTACAGTAGAGCATGGCGTTTAAAGAGGAGAAGATATCACCTCAGTTTGCAGCAACAGAAGACACACAATTAAAGAGGAGAAAATATCACCTCTGTTTGCAGTAACAGCAGAAGACGTTACACAATTAACTAATTCAATACCAAGTCATCATTATCATGTTTTTCTTTAAATTTATGCATTTATCTTGATGAATAATAAGTCATGAACCAAGTAGTTTGAAGAATATGTCACTGTTCTCGTATGACTAACTTGTGATATAATACTGGTCTCATGTGTAAGTATGTTATTGTTCTATGTCACGGATATTATGCAGGTGCCATGTACAAGTGTGTAATTGTTGTATCCCATGTAACTTTTTGTAATTTACACATAAAATATATGTCCCATGTTTAAGTAAATAATGTGTGCCACAGACATGATACTGTCCCATGTACTGTTGTATGTCACATATATCAGGGTTATTCATCTAAGTTTGCTCGCAGGCCAAAATATTGAAAATAGAGATTGTCGTGGGCCAGTGGCCTGAACCCAAGCGTGGAAAAATTACACACACAGTACAGTTGACATAGTAAAGCTGACAGTTTTCAATGCGTAACTTTAATTAACTCTAAAGTTGTTACTCCTAGCCCCAGAGCCTGGCCTGTGGTAATATAAATGAAACATTGTTGTGAACCATTACAATGTAAAGTGTACTGCAGTCCTTTGTAATGATTAATTAATACTAACTTTTTTATTTAAATATACATATTTCTAACTTGTAATTGAATTTATAAATACACATTATCATTGTCACTTCAGTTGTAATTATCATATTAATAATAACTTCCCACAGTTCGTTTCATATGGCTTTCACATGTTTCATATTCTGCAGAAGAAACCGAAATTATAACGATGCAAAATATGTTCTGCGGTGTCCAGTGTTACTAGTGTTCTGCAGCACCTAATGTCATTAGGGTGTGTGTACTAATGGTCATCATTAAGGAGAGTATCTCAGTAATCTACGCGCTGTCAGGACTGTGCTAGTATTATCATACGCGCTCCTGTCCTGTCCAGTAAATATCTTACCTTCATTGACTCTTGCAGAGCGGCAACTTTCCTACCAGTTACTAGATTTTTTACCCCATTCTTATTACTTTTGGCCCCCAGCAGGCGAGTTCTGCTAACTGTTTGAAGTGACTTTGACCCTGAACTATTTAAATTGTCATGCATGAAACATATCCCGCCGTTGTGGTATTTTCTGTTTCTTTGCTGGTGGGGGTTCTCTTGTATATCTGTGTTTACAGATTTCTGATAAACATTTTGTTTTGACACATTTGTCACTAGTTTTTGAAGATTTATGCAGACCACATTAAAAAAAAAAATTGCCAGGCCTCTGCGGGCCAGATTTGGCCACCAGTTGAATAGTCCTGGCATATACGATACAGTCACGTCTACTGTAATATATCACTTATATGAGATACGTCCCATGTACTATTGAATATCACTGATATGATACAGTCTCATGTACAATTGAATATCACTGATATGATACAGTCTCATGTACTATTGAATATCACTGATATGATACAGTCTCATGTACAGTTGTATATCACAGATATGAAACATGTTCTGTGTACACAGATATCCAGGAGTTGCTGACAACAAGGTCAGCACTGGCGCTTGTCAATGGCCAGCCCTGGGACATGCATCGACCGTTGGTTGAAGACTGTGAGCTCAAGTTCCTGCACTTCGAGGATGAGGATCCCAGGATACTTAATAATGTGAGTCTTATAGATCTGTTGTTACTGAAGCGGGCAGGGATTTAGCAGGAAAGATAAGCTGACAAGGAAGAGAAGGATGTGAGGGGCCGAGAATGAATATTGAAGAGAGAAGTTGGTGGGGGATGACTGGCTACAACAGCTATCTCATTTCCACACTTGTAGATGTGGGCATATGGTGCTTTACTTCCCAGGACATTTTCTGTCTCCGGTTATAGGTTGATCAACCTGGAAACCTAGACAGAGATTCAGACCTTTGGCTACTAGGGTTAGAGAGATAGAAACAGCCATGAACAAGGTTTAGAAAACACCATGGGAGATGTGATTCAAAGGTGAAACAAGGTTTAGAAAACACCATGGGAGATGTGATTCAAAGGTGAACGGTTTGTTATTGTTGGAGAATAATGAGAGATCTGTTGTTAGCATGTGAGAAGGATGAGGTCTGTTGTTAATGTGAGAGAATGAGAGACTCATTGCTAATATTAAAGAAAGATATATATCTCTTGTTAGTTGGAGAGAAATATGAGATCTATTGTCAGTGTGAGAGAAAGAGGAGAGCAGTGTTTATAATGTGAAAGAAACATGAAAGACATTATTGTGCAAGCAAGATAAGAGATGGTAATGTACCAGGTACAAGGCATGGATATGCCTGCATGGATATGCCTGCATGGATGCAGCATGTAATGTCTGTGTTAGACATCTGTGTTGGCTACCTGTTGATGTTGCTGTTTGTATTTCTATTCTGGAAAATGTGCCAGCATATCTCAGATTTGTGTTTTCTCGCATTTGCAGGCATTCTGGAAAACATGTTCTTTCATACTGGGCCACGTCCTAGAGACTGCCTTCCAGGACAAGTATTATGTTGAGCTGTGCAGTTTCCCTCCTCCAAATGGTAAGCTTGGTTTGTTAGGTCCTGTAGTCTGTTGTCTGTTACTTTCATCCTAGCCATAGCTGAGTATCATGTCATTGCTGACTCTCATTCTGGTTAATTTCTTTGCCTTCACCAGCTGTAAATTTCTGATTGTTTTTCCACTTCTGGGCTCTTTGTTCCAGAACTTAAGTTTTGTGTACATCTGTTTTACAGAACTAGCTTATATGCATGCAGACTGTTGGTTCCTTGTCTCTCAGGCAGATGCACTCTAACTTCGAAGGTGATGCCCTAATTAGTCTATTTTTATGATATGCTTGTTAGGGGGGCAGTGGGTCTATCCATCCTCCCTCTCCCCCACCACACAGTGGTAGCCCTCAGAAACCACACTGAGAACTGTTTTCAACAAAGAAACCTTTCACCAACCAGATGTGGAAATATAAGATCACTTGTGTCTTACTGCTAGATTTTCTGGAATAACTTGATTTGTTAAGTCAGTTTATCTGTTACTGTGTACTTCTGTAGAGACTGTTTATTCCAGTATGGTTCTGTCGAACATTGATGGGTAAACAACACATTTGCGTGAAATAGAGATTTCACTGGTGTGTAGTTAAATAGATTGACCATTATGTATATATTTATGTTTATAGCTCATATGTGGAGAGAGAAAACATATAGAGGAAAATATCTACAAGACTTGGCTTCTGAGAAAGCTATAACCATGACATGACTTCCCCCCACCCAGGGAAGGCCCTGAATTAAGATGAGTGAAACCTCAGCTTGACTGCCAAATTGATAAGTGAGAAATCTAGGTGTTTGAAAGCAGAGGTGAATGTGAATATATATAAGGCACATAGAGGTGGTTGATAGCTGCTGGCTGTACAATTGTTTATTTGTTCGTTTGCAGTTTCCAGTGGTAGCTTTGTCTATGATGCTGATCTCAAAGTTGGGGATTGGACATTCTCTCAGGTAAGTCACAGGATAAAAAAGGAATCCATAGAACTGTGACTGGGAAGCTTAACAGTCGTTGGGAGGGGAAACAAATTACATATGTGGGAACAATAAGACATTTCCGCAATAGCCTTTATCGACAAAAACCACAATAGCAAAAGGACAATAGAGGACAAGGACAGTAGGGAGGGAGAAAGGGTTGTGAGTTAGAGACATGGAAGGTGAGTTAAATTATGGTTGAGATATGGAGAGAGAAAAGGAGGGAGAAGAGATTTTTGTGTGAACAGTGTACATACTGTTTATTCTGTATTAATTGGTGGCTATATTTATTCATCTCATCTTAATAACAGTTCCAATTTTATAGCAACTGATCACCCCATAGTTGCTCCAGTCCTGTGCCACAAAAACCACACAGAATGTCCATGACTGTCCCTTGTTTAAAAATCAACACAGACTGCAGGTTTAGCAAATTGAACAACGTAATCATGCATTAAATGCACAAGGTAACAGTCAAGCGCACCAACACAAACAGCCCAACACTAGAAATGTAGTTCGTCATCGATAAAGCAGCAGTTAAAACAGGTTAGTAGTTGCACATGCAATTAATCGCATAATGCACCACACATTCTCTAGCAACAGACTATTCACCATATTCTGAATCTGTAGTTCAGAATACAAACCACAGAGGGCGCATTCAAAAAGCATTCCAAGTGAAATCCATTCATTCCTCACACTGTGGCGGAATCTGACACTGTAAATAGCAAATTGTGATAGAATTTGATATTGGCTGTCCCCCCTGAAATTACAGAAATCTCATTCTAGATGGCAAGCCAATGCCAAAACATAGAAGATACCCGGCTCAGCCTCCAGAGAAGTTTTTATTGGGGGCACACCTAACGGCCATACCAACCTGGTGTAACCTGCAGTCCTGCGTGGGTCAGAAATTATGTTAATAATAGAATACAGAATCAAACGGACCATTATGTATAGCACCAGCAAGATTATGTGGCTATGTACGTCATGAGATAACATTTCCTGGATTTTCTGTCCAGGAGATCCTGGTGTGCAGGATATTGAGCTGGCTGATGGATTGGATGCTGCTGTTGATCTGGATGGAGAGCTGCTTTGTGATGGTGTAGGCTTTCTAGGATCAAGTAGACAGTGCAGCAGGACAGAGTATCCGAGCATTGAAACACTCATTCAACAGGATTTAAGCAGAAAGTCTATAGGATGTTCAACACTGAGAGAGAGAAATAGGCAGACAGGTTGCAATTGGTACTATTATTATACTGACTCTTCATTGGCCACTGAAGAAGGAGACGGAGCATATATGGGAATGTACAAGGGCATGAATGTCACTTCTTGATTCATTCATTCATTCGCAACAATATTTGTGTCCCTTTCAGACGGAGCTCAACTGCCTAAGTAGAATTGGACTTCGGCTCAGCTACGAAAACCTCAAGTTTCAGAGACTCGAGATCCCAGTCTCCCTGGCACAGGAAATGTTCTCTGACAACAGGTTCAAGAGCCAGCAGATCCCATCTATTGCTGAAAAGTCCAGATCGGGGTCATCTGTTACTGTCTACAGATTAGGCGATCATGTGGATATGAGTTCTGGTCCAATGATTTCATCCAGCTCCCAGATTGGCAGATTCTCTGTGTGTGCCGTGAGTATTTTTTATTTGTTGTAGATGCGGTCAGAACACTGACATAGTACCTAACATATCTAAGGTTAATTCCTTCTAGTGAAGCCGTTAGAATGTTCACATATTAGGTAGATTCCAAGATCTGAGTCATGCTCATGTGATGGATAGAGCACTAACATACTGAAAGTTTGGGACATGCTGATATAGTGAACATGGTACTGACATACTGAGATGTCTAAGTTCGAGTCATGCTAGTGTATTGGATAGAGTACTGACATGCTGAGATATCTAAGTTCGTGTCATGTAAGTGTAATGTACTAAATGGATGCTTAGATCTGAGTCATTCTGGTGTAATGGACAGAGCATCAACATACTGAGATATATAGGTTCAAGTCATGCTAGTGAATTGGACTGAGCACTAACATACTGGGATATACAGATTAAAGTCATGTTAATGAAATGGACAGATCACTGACAACTGAGATATATAGGTTCAAATCATGCTAGTGTAGTTGACAGAGCACTGACAAACTGAGATATAAAGGTTCAAGTCATGCTAGACTAGTAGACAGCACTGACATACTGAGATATAAAGATTCAAGTCATGCTAGTGTAGTTGACAGAGCACTGACATACTGAGATATAAAGGTTCAAGTCATGCTAGACTAGTAGACAGAGCACTGGCATACTGAGATATAAAGGTTCAAGTCATGCTAGACTAGTAGACAGAGCACTGGCATACTGAGATATAAAGGTTCAAGTCATGCTAGACTAGTAGACAGAGCACTGGCATACTGAGAAATAAAGGTTCAAGTCATGTTAGACTAGTACTCACTTCTGATGCAGATGTTCCTTCATGTTACCTCAGGACACCTTGTGTCTTCCTCACAGCAGGCGCAGGTCCCTATCTCCCGACATGTCTGAAGAGTGTGAAGCAAATTGGATGTGTGGGACTGAAAGGCATATTTAACACAGCCTAGCCACAACACACTATGCCAGCAACACTTTTAAAAAGATGATGAAGAAAAAAAAATATTTGCTTTCTTTACCGGAGAAGAATTCTCGAGGCTTGAAAACTAAAAAAGTGAAATAAAGTATTGACAGCAAAGAGGAAAATATTATTGTAAACTTTAGTTAATATAAACATTTGTTTCAAAATCTTTTGTTTAAGATGTCTTTTTTTGTATATTTATTTTTGGTCTTTTAGTCAACCTGTTGTAATTTTTTGTTTTGAATAATCTGTTTTTATTGCTGGATCATTGTATATGGTTGCAGATACACAAAATTGAGAGTGATAGCTTTGGCAAGTTGCATCGAGTTCAGGGGCTTGCATTACCTACACAACTTTTGGTAAGTACCAGCCAGTCAGCAAACTCAACCTGTTACATGGTATTTTTATTTTATGTGTGTGTCTTCAGCCAACCAGTGAATTGATTAAATACCAACATGTTTTTGTCTTCACACAACCAGTGAACTAACCCAGTACTAGGATGGGTTTATCTTCAGCCAACCAGTCAATTAATCCAGTACTAGCATGGGTTTATCTTCAGCCAACCAATGAATTGATCCAATACCAGCACATTTTTGTCTTCACACAACCAGTGAACTAACCCAGTACTAGCATGGGTTTATCTTCAGCCAACCAGTGAACTAACCCAGTACCAGCATGGGTTTATCTTCAGCCAACCAGTGAACTAACCCAGTACTAGCATGGGTTTGATCTTCAGCCAACCAGTGAACTAACCCAGTACTAGCATGGGTTCAGCCAACCAGTGAACTAACCGAGTACTAGCATAGATTTATCTTCAGCCAACCAGTGAACTAACCCAATACTAGCATGGGTTTATCTTCAGCCAACCAGTGAACTAACCCAGTACTAGCATGGGTTTATCTTCAGCCAACCAGTGAACTAACCCAGAACTAGCATAGGTTTATGTTCACCCTGCAAGTCTACTGAAAAATACAAATCGAAACAACAGAAATGAAATGTCTACGATGAATCCTGAATATTACTAGAATATACAGGATCAGAAATGACAGTATTAGAAAAGAAGTTGGGCTGGAACCAGTACTAAACTACATCAAGAGACTTCAAATCAAATGGTTTGGGCACATGTCAAGACTTCCACCAGATAGTGCACCTCAAAGAACCCTGTTACTTAGACATAAGAGAAGCAGACCAGAGGTCGACCACACAAGTGATGGATAGATGAAATATCTGAGGCTGTAGCACATATCAAGGCTTGCACCTGATACCTCTCCAAAACCTGATGCCGAAAGGCAGAACAGGATTAGAGAAGAAGTCTTGTCCTTTTTTTGTGTGTGCCTCTCCTATGGTTATTTCTTTGGCCAGATGATAGTAAGCCTAACCACCTCCGAAGAGACATAGTGTTTCTATAGTGAGGGTAACTAAGACAGGAATGGGTAGGACATTAAAGGAGAGTATGACAAACAATGTGTAGTGTCTATGAAATAAGAGAAGACTGAAAAAAAGAGTACTTGATAAAACAATAAAGATACCAGTCGTGAAACCTCTAGTGATGGGTTCTCATTGACGACAGTGTCTCAAATAGTTAATCTTTTGGAATCAGTAACACAGAGACTACATGACTAAATAATCCAAGCTCATACAGCATTCCATCAGATTAAGAACACTGTAGGTAACTGATCCCTGGCCGTGGAGGTCATAGATGGAGTTTCACGATATTCTATACTCATAATCATCGTCAAGTGCCTTGCCCACTGGTTTCAACACACAGTACGTGTGTTGATACCCCTCACTTCCATAACAAAAAGCAACAATCTTCTCACGCTCTCTTCTTCTGTCTCTCTTCTCACAAATCTTTCCACTGTTTACAACATGTTTGATTTCCCCCTCTTCTCATAACCTGACCAAAGATTGATTACTGTCTCTTTCTGATGTTTGTGATAAGTTGTCTTCGAGCACCTGCCTCTTTCAAAACATCTGGGTTACTCTTCTTAGCTGCTCTGAGGATTCTTCTATAAAACCACATCTCTGAGGCCTCAAGATATTGTTTAGCCTGTTTATTCTGTACTACCCTACTTTTTCATGGACAGTGCAAAACTGGAGAAGAAAGACACGGGAGGCCATACAAATTTTTGATCATGTCTGTTAAAAATTTCATAATCTCATTTGAGGTGGTTGGGGATAGACACACTCCACCGCCTCATATCAAGCATGTCATAAATGGCGACCGGTTAAGAGTGTTTCCTTCAGAGTAAGTCTGCCTGAGAGGCCAGGAACCAACAGTCTGCCTGAGCCATATTACTAAAACAGATGTGCATGAAAGACTGAAGTTCTGGAACGAGACCAAAGTCAAGAAGTGTATGAACAGCCAGAACTGACCACTGGAGTTTACAGCCAGTAAACCTAAGAAGAAAAAAAAAGGGGTAAGAAAAGGAATGATTGAGTACTGCAAGAAAGCAGTTTACACAGACATTAAATCACAGGATGTATCAGTTCTGGAAAGTTATCATTGTTTGAGACAAGAGGGTCTGGTGAAGATTATAAAAACAAACAGGAATGTCGAGATGGTTTGGTGATGTTGTGTGAAAGCCAATAAGCTGCCATGCTTATCAAGGATAGATGTTTCATGACTAACGTGATTGCCTGCGATGATCATGTAAGTGAACTGATGTAAAAGTTTGGAGTATTTGTCCATGGTAGGGGGGCGGGGGGAGTTTTGTGATCTGACATCATGTACACAGTATGTGCTTGGTAACCAGTGTTTCATGTCCTTCTATGTTTCAGCTGCACTCTTGGACCTATGACACCATTCTGAGACCACGGGCAGCAAAGTTGGTGAGTGATGTTTGTGAATGTTTCCTGTGCTCTTCTAGGTTTGCTGTGTGACATTTCTACATGTTTGTTGTATGTCAGTTCTGTATGTTTGCTGTATGACATTGTGTGTGTGATTAGATGACACACGCCTGAAAGCACAGGTTCAAATCCACATCAGAGAAGATTTTTTTTAAATGAAACTGGGACTCCCAGGTTAATATTTACCTACCCATTCAGTGAAAAATTGTGAGGAAGCAGTGGAGACATGGTTTTATAGATGAATGATGAGAGCAACTCGGACGCATAAAAGAAATGAAGATGTCTTGAAAGAAATCGACTCACCTAAGAGAACTTATTGCTCACACTAGAAGGAGACAGTTTACATTCTTTAGGCATATCATGAGGAGAAAACAAGTGTACATTGTGATAGTTGGAGGGGAAAAGAATGAGAGAGAGAGAAGATGCTGGGCAGTTTGACATCATCAGTAGAAGATCATTTGTGTGTCGGAATTTACTGAAAGCACACAAGAAAGAAAATTGTTGATAGACATGACTACCATTGCCACATGGCATGGACTATATAAAGAAAAAGAAGGATGAGTGTGTTTTTTAATACCCTACAGGTTTGATGTGTGTATATATGTTTGTTATTTCCTGGACTTCTTCTTCTTCTTGGCGTTCACCAGCTGTACACTCTGGCGTAAAGTTCTGGTTGTTCGTCCACTTCTGGACAGCAGTCCTGCTCCAGAACCTGAGTGTTGCGTGTGCATCAGTTTTACAGATCTGATTCAATTGAATGTAGACTGCTGGTTCCTTGCCTCTCAGGCAGATGCACTCCGACTTCAAAGGAAGCTCCCCAGTTAGTCGACTCTTACGACATGCTTTTGGGGAGGCAGTGGGTCTATTCTTGTTTTCCCCACAATAGGGCCCCGGAACCCACACGGGGGATTTCCTGGACTGAATGTTTTGTTTATTGACAGATGTTCCCTTGATGAGTTAGTTTGTTGACTGTATAGCGCTGATGTTTTCTGTGGACAAATGCAGGGTCATATGCTGTGTTTGGTAGCAGAAATATGGTGCTAGCCCACTAATACCTGCCACATGAAATATACATGGTCTTGTAGATTGGAACAGACCCAGAGGGGACTGAAAAGCTGTGAACTGTTTAGACTCCTCCGCCAGCAGGATCCGCCAATACCCTTTTTACAAATCTAGCTTTGTGAAAAACCTTGCTGTTGCCAACTTATGGAACATATCGTCTATGTTTGGCATATTCTCTGCATCTATCACAGTAATGCAATTAAGCTTGCGGTAGTCTGTGCATATGCGGATGGTTCAATTTCTTGTTTAATTTTGTGCAAACTATAGTGGTCAGGGAAGTCCAGTGCAGTAAAATTGACATGCAAAAGAAGCAAAGTACTCATTTTGTGTTTGGTAGTTGAAATTCCAGGTCTGCAGCATGCTGGCTTCTAAAGGCATAGCAGGGGATGAATGAGATGTTCAATATATGTAAGTGAGGTTAAACACTTATAAGCAGGACGTGACAATTCCTTGGATGAGCCTAGTATCAGAGTAATAATGTATCAGCCCTGCATTTATGGAAGCCTTCTTGGTTGGTGGGGAATGCTCCTGAATTTTCAGGAGGGCTGACCAGCATGACATGGCTGCTGTGGACTGGCCTGATGATGGGCACCCACCTGTGTACTATGAAATAAAGATAGCCATACAATATTCGAGATTACAGTAGCCCACGAAACTAACCAGGAAGGCTAACCCAGGCAGAAGTAGGATATGTCAGCCAAAAGGAGCAAATATCGCAGCTGTGTGCACAACACATTTACATCTTTGGATGAATGCAGAAAAATAAGATCTTCGTGTACAGTTAGTTATGGACATTAATTTTTTTTGTTTTTGTCTCTTCCAATCTCAGAATCATGGACCAATGCCACAGCTGAAAGCCCCCAGACCAACAGAGCAGCAGCTGATACAGTAGACTGTTGCACAAACATCAATTATTCTTATCGTTATTCTTCTTGAATATAAGCTTTTATCTACAATGTGTGTTTGTGGCTGGACTTTATCTTTGCTGTAGTTCGCTGATCAAGTGTGTGTGAACGACTTTATCTTTGCTGTAGTTCGCTGATCAAGTGTGTGTGAACGCATATGTTGACTGAATAAAATAGATACAACTGTACAGAAGGAACAGTGCAAGTTGTTTGTCATCTGTGAGAGTTACCAGGTTAGTCTAGTTTTATAACTTGACATCAAAGAGATTTTTTTCATTTTGGGATTGTCTTTTAAATAAGGCAGTTGATCACCGTGCCCCATAACACCATGAATATGTTGTCTTCAGGTAGTGTGAGTATGTGAAGAGAAGACATTACAAACACCATGGCTATGAGTACTTGAAGACATAACACTATATTTAGTGACATCATCTGACAGAACAACCTTTAGACACACATGTGCAAACACATCATACATTTTAAAATATATATAAATTCTTATTGGCTTACAGAAATGACACAGTAGTGTGCAGAATACACACATAAGTGCCGAGTTTCCATCAGAGGTATTAATTAATTATGATATGGGTGCTATAACTACTTGTAGAGCTTTGGTTAGTTGGGCACACATCTGACACGTCGATGACAGTCTATGTGTTTCTATTTCGCTTTGTCTGCACATTGTTGTCTCGTTGCAAGAGATAGCTTTCCCTAATACCTTGTACTAACTGAAGATCTTAAATAGGAAGTCTAGAATCCAGCCCGTCTCTCCTTTCATTGCCACAGGCTTCCAACTGTCCAGGACTGTATATCCAAACTATTTTGAACAAATTAATCAGTTTAAAAAACTTATACAGTACATGTTCCAGAAAACATATAGAAATCTTTTTGTTTAATGGCTGTAAACTCTAGCAGAAAATTCTAGTTGTCTATCCACTTCTGGTCTTTGGTCTTGTTCCAGAACTTTAGTTTTGCATGCACACCTGTTTGACAGATCTGGCTTCTTTGTGTGCATATTTGTAGGCAGATGTACGTTGACATTGAAAGGAACACCCCTAATTAGTCGCCTTGTATGACATGCTAATCAGAGGGTAGTGGGTTTATTAATTCACCCCCTTCCCCCAAACCTCCGACAACAAGATGTAGCCCCATAACCCACACGAGGAGTATACAAATCTAAAAAAAAAAATACTTCTTGATTTTTTTTCTTCAAACTCTAATAAACACTTGCTCTTTTCCTTTTCTATTCTTTCTTTCAGCTGTAATGTACATCACTTCGTTTTCTACTCTTACTAACAACTCCAATATACACTTGATCTGAGTAGTTTGACTACAACAAAATTGATGCAAATCTATGCAATTTACTTGGTCCCAGTTACCAGATATATATAGTCTGCTTCAGTGGCTCTCAACCCTCCTAATGCCGCGACCCTTTAACTCTTTGAGTCCCAGAGGGTTTAGCATCACAGGCCCAAGGGGTAGTCAAAAGAGACGTAAAATCGGCGCATCATGCGTTCATTGGGCTTTTAGGTAGTAACCAATGAATTTATGATGCGTTCCTTGGGACTCAAAGAGTTAATACAGTTCCCTCATGTTGTGGCAACCCACAGACAGTTATTTCCGTTCATAACTTCATTGAATGAAGGATGATATACCACAGGTGAATTTTCCGTGGTTTAAGGCAACCCATGCAAAAGGGTCATTTGACCCAAATTACTTAGTAATAGTCTTCTTCTTCTCGTTCACCGGCTGTAAACTCCGGCGGAAAGTTCTGGCTGTTCATCCACTTCTGGACTGCAGTCCTGTTCCAGAACCTGAGTGTTGCGTGTGCACCCGTTTGACAGATCTGTATGCAGACTGTTGGTTCCTTGCCTCTCAGGCAGATGCACTCCAACTTTGAAGGAAGCTCCCAATTAGTTGACTCTTACGACATGCTTTTGGGTAAGCAGTGGGCCTATTCTTGTTTTTCCCATAGTAGGGCCCTGGAACCCACACGGGGAAAAATAGTAATAGTAAAACTTTTACTAAGGTGGGAGCGCTGTGGAAAAATGTTAATTGAAAAAAGGCACTGCGACTAAGAAAAGTTTGGGAAACACTGTACTACTGCATTCTAAAGATGAATAGTTCTAAAGAACTGTAGGGATGAGATTTTACACTACATCACAAGAATAACAATTTGTATATAGGGTATTAATTCACAGTGCAAAAAAAAAAAAAAAACAGTTATTGCCCAGGCCACTTTAAATATTCCTGGAGATAGATGACACAATCTAATCATCACAGATATTTGGACAGTACACTTACAGTATGGGAGCCATCTTGGTGTAGTGGCTAGACTCTTGACTGCAGATCGGAAGGTTGTGGGTTCGGCTCCTGGCGGAGCCAGTCTTTTTTTTTTTTTAAAAATGAACTTGGCTCCCAGGTTGACTCAACCTTGAGCGAGTCCTACTTACAGCTCCTGGGAAGTAAAAGCGGCCGGCGGGATGCTGACCACATCCCTCACCAAGTACCGATTGATCTATGAAATATAGGTCTAGGCGTGGAAAAGGTCCTTTACCTTACTTACTTTACACTTATTAATATTATATACGTTGTTGTACTAAACACTTATAAACATACTTCATAACATATTATAGTTAATACATAATACTGTATTTTTCAGAAAAATAGTACTGGGTCTTATATTAATTTGTCTTCTCTACAAGGTGCCCTAGGATTTTTTATGTGGACCTCTAGTAATTTTCCCTGGCCTCTGGGTAGTAAGATCGGACACCCGTGTGTATTGTTGCGCACATAAGAAAAGAGTAGCCTAATGGCCTTGCCCGGATATAATTTGGAGTTAAAAATATATCTAAAGTATTTCAGGATCCTTGCTAGTTCTACAGAATTTATGACGGTGCATGCTTACTTACGGCCAGCTCCAGAGATGTATATATATATGTATATATATAAATATCTCTGGAGCTGACTGTGGCTCACCATTGTTACCGAGTAGATTTATACATAAATTAAACATTTTAATTATTTTGCAATTAAGTGGGCTGTTATTTTGTGTGTGTGTGTCTAATAGCCCACTTATTTATCTTCAAAATGATAATTTATTCAATAACATATGTTGCAAAATAATTAATCTGTAGTTTAATTTGTGTATAAATCTACTAGGTAACAATGATGAGCACTGACCAGCCTCCTAAAAACGGGAATTCCCTTTTAGCTATATGGCCTTAAACCAAACCAGTAACAGGTTTTTAATGAAGGTTAAGCTTGATACCTCCTCCTTTTGTAAACAGCTGTTTATTCCAAGTGATGTGCTCTGTTCACCATTTCCCTCTAAAATATAGAACAAGGCCTTTCAACTAAAGTTACTTAGGGGCCAAAGAGTTGAAAATTGTGGTAGACCTGAGCACTAGAATCAAAAGGTCACTAATACAGCATAACTGGCAATAATCCATGGGTCACTTGTTAGACCTCTAGTTGAATAGCCCTGACGGGGAGTAACCAACATACTGCATCTATCTGGATTTCACGGGAATGCAGATAAATAAAATAACTAGACAGAACAGGCCGGGTCGTTTTTTGGCTCGCCGGTAGACGACTTTGGGTCTATCTTCTTTGATCGCATTGGCACTGCAGGGTCCCTTTTATGGCTGTTGGTGGCGTACAGTGCTAATCCACTTTATATGGCGCACGTAACCTAGTCACAATTACAACCTACAGCTCCTCCTTCGGTGATGCTGGTTGAAACGTAAGGATTTTTTCCAGCAAAGCATTGGATTGGAATAAAAAAAAAAAAAAAACAGCATTTCTGGAGATTAGTGTAGAACAAACAAAATTGTTGGACAACAGAAAGTAAAAACAGCTAACTTACTGATGTTGTTGGACAACATGATGATGTATGGCGGAGTTGTTTGAACAGTTGCAGCTGTAGGCTGACATCAATGTCTTCTGATTTTGTGGCACCTAGAGGAAATAGAACATTGTAAATGTTGGAAGAATAGTTCATCATCATCATCATCATCATGTGCCCTGCCAAATGGACTAGGCGCTCAGGCGTCTCCACAGATCACGATCCCTGGTTGACTGGAACAGCTCTCTTGATGATATCTCTCCATGCCATCGTTTAAGCCCATCCAGCATCATCTCTCTTGGTCTGTCTCTATCCCTTTTTCCACTGATCTGTCCAGTTGTCACGATGTTCTCCAATGTCTATCTTCTCATTATGTGGCCAAAGAACAGTGTTTGTTTCTTTCTTATTTAGATCGTGTAAGATGAAGGAAATAGAACATTTTGTATGTTGGAAGAAAAGACCATATAAGTTGCAGAAATAGAGTGTATAGGTTGAAAGAATAATTCATATAAGTTGAAGGAAACAGAACATTGTATATGTTGGAGGAAATAGAACATTGTATATGTTGGAGGAAATAGAACATTGTATATGTGGGGGAATGGTGGTAAAAACGAATTAAAGTGTGTAACAAAGCTGCAATTTTAGGACAAGTGCAAAACAGTAAAGTAGTCCCATGGATAACTTGGAAGATGCATGACCGAGATCCACAGAATAGGACAGGATTTTATAAAATGAAAAACATCTTGCAATATATCCTTGTCTTGAGAGTTGAAAAAGAATTCTTGCTTGCTACATACATACTAGTTTTAACAATATGGCTGTGAATTGCTAGGACAATCGGTGGCGGGGCAGGACAAAACAATTTCTGGAGTGCCTCAGAGATGTGGTTTTTTACAGAAGAATGCTTAGAACCCCCTTAGCCAAAAAAGCAAGCAAGCGGTTTTGAAAGAGGCGGGAGCCCGAAGAAAACTTATCACCAGACATCAGAAGAGACAGTCAATCATTTTCGGCCATGTTATGAGAAAGGTCAAAATAGAACACTTGACGAAGATAGGGAAGGAGAGTTAGAGAAAGAGCATTAGATAAGAAAGCTTGGACAGTCTTGTTGCATGGCATGGAGGTGTGTCGGCACACGAACTGATACATGCTGCAGGAGATCGCAGATTATGGAGAGGCATGATCGACAACGCCAGTCGGCAAGGCAACTGATGATGATGATATGTGGGATGGATATATATATATATGACTGGTCCACTTGGTGGGTCTCATATATCCCACCCTTGGGTTAGACCGCTTTTCTTGAGCAGTAGCAATCAAATACACCAAAGCCGGCTTGCTAGGCCCGTCGCGTGGCGGGGCAGGACAAAACAATCTGACCTGGTTGGTGCCCGTCTTCCCGGCGAGCCATTGCCCCCGTAACCCTCAACCTCGCGGCTTCAGTTTTCCGGCGTGCACCATGAGAAGGTGGGGTGAGATGCGCTGTCTCCACAAGGTCTCTAACAACACTAGACGAGATAGGGTTACAAATACCAGCATTAGAGAGAAAGTGGGAATAAGACCATGTCTGGATTATATTGACAGGCAAAGAATGAAATGGTTCGGCCATCTAGTGATAATGCAGCCAGACCAGACTACAAATGAGACTTTTTACAGTAGAACATTTGGAAGGAAGGTGAGAGGAAGACCAACAAAGATATTGATGAATGGTGTAGCTAAAACCTGCAAAAGGATGAACAAATCCATCACTCAAGCCACCCTAGAAGCGCAAGACAAATACAGAAAACCACGACACTGGGCTATCATGTGAGACGATAAAAGAAAAAGAAGAAGGCTAGATCGCTGACCTGGATTTGTGGATCCAGTTTCAGATGGAAGAGTTCCATGATCAGGACACTGGATGGTGCAGTTGAGGGATGAATGCATAGAGAAGGTCTACAGCAAGCATGTCAAACTTTGGGTTCCCCGAGGGCCCTATGGGTCATAGTTGTGCCCTCGTGGGGGCCATACAGGACAACAAATCAGAGTCATTGAATGACAATTATTGCAGAATATTTCCTTTGTGTGGGCGGCAGGTGTGCTTGCAAAGGGCCGCAAGCTGCTAGTTCGACATGCCTGGTCTGCAGCTCACACCATTTTTCAAGTAAGTGACTCGAATAGGGTTTGAATAATGAGATATATTATTTGTGCCACAGTTGAGCCGACTGTCGTGTAGTGTTTGAATAGTTGAAAATATATTTTTGACCATAACCTCCGATAGATGCTTATGATGAATATCACGTAGACAATGTCAGAGATAAGAAAGGTGTGACAACGCAGAAGGCCTTGTATTGAGTGTTATACTCTAAAGTCTAGACCTTCCCACTGTCTGCAAAATACAGCTAGAAAGATTAAAAATGAGGCTGCTCCATATCGGCTGCACACAAGGCACCTCATGTCATGCCTAGCGGTGTCTCCTGTATGTATCGATGATGGCATTATGAACGTATCAGGGAACATCAGCCACCAACTTGTTTTTGCCGTGGCACCCTTATCGGGTTAAAAATTTTCGCGGCAACTTACACCCTTAATGCGGTTGAATACTTAGGAACAGAAAGAAAAAAAAAAGTGGAAATTTAATGTCTTTAAACTGTTTGGATGAATTTTTCATTACTGCGGCGGGACCCTGGCATATGCTCGCGGCACTCAGTTTGAGAACTGCTGCTATATAGGATGCCTGAACTCTTAAATGTTGTCGTTCATGGATAACAGAAGCTACACATATAAACCAAGCAGGTGTGCACTGCAGACAAGTTCAGACATGTAGGAATATCGACGGATATACTGGTTGACATGTAGAAATGTACTCTAAGGTTGTCGTCACACTGGGGAAGTACTGCCAACAGCAGAACCACACCGCCGTAGAATCCGAGATAAGGAGACTGAAAGATCAATACTTCAGTCCAGAAGACGTCATCATTTACACAGATGGGTCCGTGAAATCTGGGTTAAGATCATCATGAGCATACACAGCAAAAAAGCTGAGGGAACAATACAAGAGGATAGTGGCGCGTACCAGGCAACTACCTCAGCCATGACCATGAAGATCACAGCTTCTTCCAGAGCATTCGCTTGGGCAGCAGAACAAGCAGCCACACACGCAGTGATCATATAAGACTCCATAAACATTCTTCAGAAAATCACACCAGGCAGCCTGCGCTCTGAATGGGTTGATAATAGTTTGAGGTCATACTTAACCTACCTTACCAGAATGCACATACCTGGTCGTGTCGGAGTAAAAAGGAATGAAAGAGCGGACTAGCTGGCAAATATTGCACTACTGCAAAATGGGTGGATATAGCACAAATTTGTCACGCTATACGGACTAGACTGGCTGATAGTCTGATGTTAACACAGTTGCATGAACTCGGAGTAAAGCTCGTCGGTGCCGTCTTCGAGGTCAAGATAAGAGATATTATAACTAGCTTCTCATGGAAACAGGCTGTAGAGTTACCATGAGGTGGCTGCTGCATCAGATGACTAAGCACGCACGGTAATGCCCAATGTACGGTGACATGGATTATGATAACTTAACAGACTTTTCTCAAACCTACCTGAGAGCAAACTGATCAACCAACCAGATCCCACACAGGTAATCACACCAATGGCTGAGAACCACAAGTAGGACAGCCCATAGAAGTTGTCAATACCTACTCTGAATACAAAACATATATAGTTGTCACTCTGGTTTCTCTTCACAACGAACATATATAGTTTGTATCAGTTCGTCCAAGCAGGGTTACCAATACTGGCCCTCTCTCTCTCCCCCCCCCCTCCCCCCCAAGGTCTAGGTTTTTATGTGACGTCTTTAGGAAATCTGTTTTTTTTTTTAAAGTATATATCCTTATATAAAAGTGTCGGTTCTGTGGCTAAGTCTATGCGAACGTTCGTGGATGCCGGAATGCCGGGTTCGACGGAACAGTGGGGCCATGCGCCTTGCGTTGTGCGAATGCGGTTGCAGGTTTGACAGTGGTATCAAGAAAGCCGACCGTTTAGAAGCAATGGCAAACTACTGGACGTAAATTTGTCTAAAAAAACGTTGAGTAACGTCCTGTAAAGGATACGCAATTAACGTTTATATAAAAGTGGTAAATGTTTCGTTTTGTAACTATAAATTTTGTACATTTTAACAATCTGGGCTTTTTAATTTTGTTTTCTTTCTATATTTATTGCTTTGGGTTTTTGTTTAGCTTAAGTGGGTTTTTCCCCCCAAAAAATCAAATTGGCAGCCCTGCGCATAAGAACTGTGTCTTCTTCTCCTGCTGCTACTACTGCTCCTCCTTCTTCTTTTTCTTCTTCTTCTTTTTCCTCCTCCTCCTCTCCTCCCCCAAGCTACCAGACTGTAAACTGGTCACAGCAAACCCTGCGATGAGGAGCATGATCTGCACCCGCTGTGTACACACAGTTTGAATGGAATCATAAACTTGCTAGTGATGAGTGACACATGTTATAAGGACGCAATAAAAAAAAATAAAAAAACTGGTGCTGTCCGTACACTTGGCTGCGATGGATCCGCATTCACAGATGTGTTTGGTAATATTAGAAGGTGAGACTGAAGTCTCTTTCACTGTGCCATATTTAGGCATGTGTTGAGATGCGAGAAGTGAGCTGCAGTGCCTTAGCTGCAGTGAGCTTTGATAAAATTGCACTGCAGTTTAAACTGAATGTCAGTTGCAGTAAGTTGTCTGATAAATTGCACTGAACTGTTGTTCATTGTAGTGAGATATTGCTGGTCAGTTGCTTTGAGCTTTTTTTCAGTGTACTGTGATCAAAACTGTTTGTACTGTGAGTGAGTTAAACTGCAATCTGTCAATAATAAACTGAACTGTTGTTCAACTGCACTCTGAAGTGGTTCACAGTTGCAGTGGGCTATTGTTGAGTTGTAGTGAGCTGTTTTTCAATATTGCTGTGCGCTGTTGATCAAATGTAGTGAACTGTTGCTCAATCACACTGAACTCTGCCTTTGTCCAAAATGAACTGTTGGTCATTTTTCACTGAACTTGCTCACTAACATTGTACTGTTAACTCTCAAGTTGTAAAGAGCTGTCCTTACTGCAATGAGCATGTTATTTTAGCTGCACTGACCTCGTTGGTCAGGTATGCATGAGTTTGTAGTAATTCAGTTTTGACAGGCACTTTGGTGGTTGACCTTTTCATAGCCCTTAATTTGCCCCTCGTCTAATTACAATGCAGCAGGTTATTACAAGCACGAGCCTCGTAGCTTTATAAATCGATATAAGATTGAACTTGGAAACAAACGGGTAGTTCATGAACGTCAACAATATGCTATGTTTGGCAGTTCATGAACGTGGTCCATCTTCTATTTTTTTTCGGACCTTTCCTTGTTAATTTGTAGTGAGCTGCTGGTCAGTTGCAGTGAGCTTTTTTCAGTTACTGTGAACTGTTTGGCAGCTGCGGTGAGCGTTTGGTAAATTGCAATGAACTGTTGTTCAGTTGCAGTGGGTTATTGTTGAGTTGTAGTGAGCTGTTTTTTAATTGCTGTGCGCTGTTGATCAAATGTAGTAAACTGTTTGTTGCTCAGTCACACTGAACTCTGCCTTTGTTCAAATGAACTGTTGGTCATTTGCTCTCTGAACTGTTGCTCACTAACATTGAACTGTTACTCAAGTTGTAGAGAGCTGTCCACTACAATGAAATGTTGTTTAGCTGCACTGACCTGTTGGTCAGGTATGTGAGTTTGTGTATTCAGTTTTGACAGGCACTATTCTGGTTTGACCTTTCTTAGCCTTTAATTGCCTCTCGTCTAATTACAATGCAGCAGGTTATTACAAAGCACGAGCCTCGTAGCTTTATAAATCCCTATAAGAATTGTACTGTAAAACAAACGGGTAGTTCATCAACGTCAGTCAATATGTATGTTTGGCGGTCTTATCATTTCATTCTCTTTCCTTTACCTTCTATTTCCCTCATGATCGTTGGGTGACAATGGATCTGTTTCGCAACGCCCCCCCCCCCCTCCCGCCAACAAACCATCTTCATCTGAACCTCGCTCGGTTCGCTAGCGTAGTTAGCTAAACCGGATTGCGCGGTGACCGGGTGACAAACTCCTTGTGGTCCGAGTTCACGCCCGGGGTTGGCAGAAAAGCCACATTTCTCCCAGATGTACGGTATTTATCATGAAATCAAGGTCGAAGGGTTGCGATATCCATAATACTGAGCCTAAGGGTTAAAAACTCATGGTTACTGGATACTTTAAAAAAATCTGAACCTAAAAAAAAAAAAAAAAAAAAAAAAAAGGTGTTGAGAAACTCACACGGGTTAATAGTGTACGAGTTGGCTATCCACAAGCCGCTAATCTCTCCGAGTTGATACTTTCCAGTTACATTATAATTTCGCAGTGTGCGGTTGTAGAAGGAAACACTCGGGAGCATTCGTGATAGGAGCTTACGTGCTAGTACGGAAAGTGAGGGGAGGATGGATGTGAATCCTACAGGGTCCCTCCGGAATGGGCGTAGTTACTGGCTCGGGTCGTCTCCTCCTTGTAGGGCACTTGTTTGCCCAGTGGTCATTGTGCCCGCCGTGAGGACAATTCGTCCTTCTGCCTGGCACAGTGACCCAGAGCTGGTGTTTGTCGCCGGGGAGCGCCGGATTCCTCATGTTGACATAATGAGGGATCGGTTTTGTCTCCCTCACCGAGGCATGCCATCTGTCAATGCCGTGTTTTGTTTGGTACGCTTCGGGATCTTCGTCTCCCGTGATTCCAGTAATGATTTTTTTCATGGTCTGTTCCGTGGCTGTTACTGGCATCCAATGGATGCAGATTTTTGTTTTGACTTTGTCTAGATGTTCTAGAAGAACATCTACACCTTCCACTGTTTTCCGCGCATTGTGCAGGAGGTCGAAATGAGTCCTGTGAGCTGCTTCCGTGAGGGTGAGGTACCACTCGGTGGTCCTCGAGTAGCGGCACAGCGCCGCTATTCCGTTGATAGGCACTCCGACTGGGCCTATCAGGACTCTGGTCAGCCAGACGGTCGCCGCCCTGGAGGCTGCATCGGCACCGGACAAAGACACAATGATTGTATTACCTGTCCGGTGTATCCTTCCTCCAGGGAACGCGTCCGTCAGCACGTCCAGGTCCAGGTTGGTGACGGCTGCTGCAGGCTGCATCTCGGGTGGCTGTGGTAGAGGTTGCTTCTCAGGTGTCCGGGGCTTGCTCCGTCGTCAGTGGTGGTTATGTGCGGGGTGGTGGGGTGTGGTTACGAGAATCGTTGATCGCCTCAAAGGTAGCTTGTCCTGAGAAGGACACCGCTCTGATAAGAACAGTTACTACACTTTGAACTTAGCCAAAAGGCCGAGAAGCGTTTTTTATTACTCTGTATCTAGTGGACTCAGAATTTTCGTATAGCATACCCGGGAAAGTCCAATACTATTGGGGTATTAAGGTGCGAAATGAACACCGACCAACATTAACACTAACCCTCTATAATAATGGACTTTCCCGAGCATTTCCTACGAAATCTCAAGAGTCGCTGAAATAGTGTGAAATTAATAAAAGAACCGGGAGGGGAGCAATAGAGATTAACTTCTAGGTTCATGTGCCTATGTAAAGAGATCCTTGTCGACTGCATGGAAGGAAATGTGCTGAAGTCGAGTCGATTGCAGCTCAAAGATTTCCCATTAATTAAGGTAGACCAGATTGGGGAAAACCATGAAAATGATATTTTGTTGCAGTTTATATCACTGAGTTGTCGAATTATGTGACGGAAATCATTCACTCAGACAACGAAAACAATCACACATTTACTGCAGATTCGATTGTTTCTTCCCTTTTAGTGATTCTGGCTTTCTGCATGCTGGGTTGTACCGCAGTGTAGTATTGATTTCAATCATACTGGTTTCAGGAAAAGTTCCTTTCGCTGACTAAATTCGTGCAGTCTAATTTTACTACAGTAAATATTACATTTATAAGTACTGATTGACACATCTCATGAAGTTATTTGTATATTGTTGCAGTGAGTTGTTAGTCAGTTGCTTTGAGCCGTTGATAAGTCACATTGAACTGTTGCTCGCTAGCGCTGAACTGTTGGCCAGTTGCAATGAGCGGTTGGTAAATTGCACTGAACTGTCGTTGAGATGCAGTGAGCTTTAATTAGCTGCAGTGAGCTTTGGTCAGCTGTAGTGAACTGTGTGTCAGTTGCAGTAAGCGTCTGATAAATTGCACTGAACTGTTGTTAATTTGTAGTGAGCTGCTGGTCAGTTGCAGTGAGCTTTTCTCAGTTACTGTGAGCTGTTTGGCAGCTGCAGTGAGCGTTTGGTAAATCGCCCTGAACTGTTATTCAGTTGCAGTGGGCTATTGTTGAGTTGTAGTGAGCTGTTTTTTAATTGCTGTGTTCTGTTGATCAAATGTAGTAAACTGTTTGTTGCTCAGTCACACTGAACTCTGCCTTAGTCCAAATGAACTGTTGGTCATTTGTTCACTGAACTGTTGCTCACTAACATTGAACTGTTACTCAAGTTGTAGAGAGCTGTCCACTGCAATGAAATGTTGTTTAGCTGCACTGACCTGTTGGTCAGGTATGTGAGTTTGTGTATTCAGTTTTGACAGGCACTTTTCTGGTTTGACCTTTCTTAGCCTTTAATTGCCCCTCGTCTAATTACAATGCAGCAGGTTATTACAAAGCACGAGCCTCGTAG